ACATTGCTATGAAGCAGTAAGATCTGCCTCCATTTGGCAGGACAATAATATAAACGCAGATCGTATGCCAAGTACTATAATCTTTCCCTGCTATGGAGGAGAAGTCTAAAAGACTGTAGGCAACTCCAAGATGTAAGCTGTGTGTCCCCATGTCTGTCAGTGAGGTGTTCAAAAGCATGGCCTGTGACCCAGGATCCTGCCAGGGTCTGCCAACAGCCTTCTACAGTGAGGCCGTCTTGCCCATTCCCTCAAGCAGTGACTTCTAGTGTCGGGATTTTTTTATGGGACTCTGTTGAAACCCTCACGGAAGACTGAGGTCTGTTGCATCCCTGTCTTTGGTCTTTTGTTACGTGATATGGTTATTACTGTTTGTATGAACACTATACTCCCAAACACATGAAGATTAATTACATAGCTGCTTAATTTTGTGTCAAAACCCTCACTGAAGGTGCTCGTCAACCTAAACATGCAGGTAATCAGTACCTGCATAATCACACTGCTCACAGCAAGTAGACTCTGTGAGATTAGGAATATGGTGAGTGTGTGTAATATAATATAGTAAGAATAAAATATGAAGTCTACTTTAATTGCACTGTTCACCTTTTCTCCCCTAACTTGGAAGAAGTACTCTCTACATTTCTAATACATTTTCCAATGCTGATTTTTCCCTTCAGGCAAAGTTTCTTCCCACTCTAATAATGTACAAATTAATCCATTCCAGTACAAAACTAGATATTATATTGCAGAGAGGCAAAATCATGGGACACTGAGCCATGAAAGTTTTAATATGAAATTCAATAATAAAGAAATAGGATATTGTCATTTTATCCCAGAGGGGCTGACTTTGAAAACTTAATTCTGGTGTATTTAAATAAAATTTTTACTGTTATTTTTAAATGTGACTAGAATTTAATATATCATCTGGCACATCTTTACAATGCCTGATCTCAGTGATCTTATGAGATTTTAACAGGCTGAAAATGCTGCCAAGCTCCAGCTGTAAAGCTTCCATCATACTTCAAAATGTGCCACTCTCTTCCAAAGCTATAGAACTATTCTCTGAAGCTATATTATACTTTTATTTGTACTCAAGATCTGTTAGTCATTTCTGTTGGAGTGTGGTGCCCAGTGTTTATTAAAAATATAATTTTTGATATACGTTTAAGAAAAAAACGGTAAGTTTAAATCAGAAAGAATACATCTAACTTTAAAGGTAGGGTACTGGAGTTACATAGCTAAGAAATGCAAAGTATTTACATATTTGTCCCACTGTCTAAAAATAACCTTGCTTATGCCTAAGGGGGGAAAAAAGAGCACGAAAAAAGAGCACGAAGTGACAGACTTTAGAAAGGAATCAGTCCTCTCCATGTATACCATTTCTCTCTACAGATTGTCTAATTTGATGTGAACATTGGTTTAGAATTGAGTCCAGGAAGACCGAAGTCAGTGGCAAAAGGGAAATCTGTTATCTTGACACTATCTGATAAACTCAGTTGTGTCCACGGTTCCCTCCAAAAAAAGCCCTTATCAGAGGAATTTTCTTGTATTGGCTTGAAACTACAGTGCCTCGCTACTGAATTTGAAATGTTAAACAGCACACCCTCATCACATTTCATTTCTGTAAGGAGAAAGCCTCCTGGATTCTTCTGGGGGTGGGGGGTCAGCACTGATAATTAGCAGTGCAGTGCATGAAACTGCTATTTAATAAACCTCCCATCTCCATTTCCAGTGAAAGTCCTCTTGAGAAGTGTAGGTCTTCGTTGGGGTTTGAGGGCATTCAGCACATTTTAGGAGGACCTGAGCACCATTTAGAAGAACACAAAAGGAATGTATCTCCCTTTTTTTGGTAAAAGGTGTGTATCTTCATGGCTCTAGGCAGTTCCTACAAAATGAAGATTTACCTCTCTTTGAAGTGAAATTTAATACTGAGCAGTTCATGAAAACTGCTCAGATTTGTACAAAATCACACCCTCTTAAGGCTAAGCGGGGAGATTGACAAACCCAAGGTCAGATAAATGGCAGGACTGGCATGGCACTCATGATTTACTACCATCACTACTGTTCTTCCTGCGGTGTACAACCATGTAACACCTGCAGGGCTCTTCACTTGTTCGTTATTTTAGTTTTAGCTAGCACCTTGCAGGACCAGAAGCTCTCTCTTACTCTAGGTCTGTTGGAAAGGCTGTTACTTCCATCAAGTTACTCAGGTTGTGTGGTAGCTGTGGGTATTTAGAAAGAGAGTAAAGCCACAGAAGCCTCCTGGCAGTAAAAGACAAAGTGTCACAGCGCTAATCGTGTGAACAAAAGTAAAAGTGAAAAGAGCTTGTCCCAGACTTAATTTCTCTGCTTGTTTTTTTTTCTTTGGTATCTCATATAAATGCTAAGGTTTTTGAGTGGCTTCACACATTCAGTTAGTGGCTCAGGTAATGTCTATTGATTGAACCCCCTCCACCTCCATTTTCACTCCACCCAAATCACAAGTGATCCTAAAGGAAATTAAAAATGTTACAGACATATAGTGAAACTGAGAAATAATGCAGTAACTGAAGTACATATAGTGGCTGGTAGCTCTACAAGCGAGACTGAGACTTTGTCTCGGTTTTTACTTTACTGTGGAGTTTAGAGGCATGGCATGGCTTCTTTTTCTAATAAGATGTGCTAGGGTTTTATTCTGCAAGGAAATACTTGAATGTGTTTGTGGGGACAGAGATGGATGAACTTAAAAATAACTGAAAAAATTGAATAGTCTTAGCAAATAGCTGGATTAGCATTCTACTCCCATAGATTTTGGTAGCTGAAGAGCTGTCCCTTTCTTTGTTTATCAATATTTTGGAAGTATGAAAATGTTGAAATTGAAGTGCAGACCTTCAATTTAATCTTTCATTTTCTTAAATCTTAAAAATCTTTTAAGTATGGTGATATTAACAGGAGAAGTTTGAGATGTGCTACTGCACGGGATACTGAATAGCATGGCCTGGGTTTCACAATCCCTCTTCAGAACCAGGTGGCCCTAAGGACACAGGTGTGGCTTCAAACCCGCTTTCCCTAAAACGAAGCAGAGCTGCGGAGGCACAGCCCTCATTCCCAGGGGGATGGTGCAGCGTCTGGGGCTCCAGCCTCGTGCTGCCCCCTTCCCCAGGGCAGCTCCAGCCCACAGACTTCTCACCTGGACGTGGGGTGAAAAAACAAAGACTTCTGGCATCAGGGATGGAGTTTGCCAAACTGGTTGGTGGAGTTTTCTTTTACACAGGGCAGAAAACTCCACTGGTCTTCTCCAGCTCCTTTAAAGTAATTTTGCTCTGCTTATGCAAGATATTGTGGTCAAAGCAAATCGAATAACTCATCCGTAAATGCTTAGAGCGGGTTTTATGTGTACATATATGCAAATTCATATTAAAAAAGTATATGCATATTTATATGAATGAATATCTACACCTCTATCATTTTATAATACATAGAAATGCTATTTTAAAATGATAAATGTTAAACAAAGGGATCCTTGATATAAACATTCCTTAGCCAAAAGGTACAGTTTACTTAAATAGGAATATTTATGTAAGTGAGAGCTTGAGCGCCAAGTCCAAATATAAAGTGGTTTTATTTTACAATCTTCAGTATTTAAATATAAATAAAAAGTAGCATATAGCTGCCATTTGTGAAATGTATCTAAGAATGGAATAAATCTTAATAAGTATCATAAGAATGGCCAGAATGGCTTCTCTAAGGAAGATGGCTCATAATAAGTATTTTGAGTTTTCTCTATACTGTGAAATTGTTTATTTAGGAAAATCTGTATATTAAGTGTGTTGAAAAACTGTCACTTATGTATAGGAATGCAGCAGACTAATACAGTTAAATGTATACATATATAGTTAAGCTCCTGGTAGCACAACTTCTATTTTCTTTCCCACCTTAAACAACCCCAAGTTTGTCATGCCTGGTGTAGGTAACTTAATGACAAAGATTGCTTAACGCGAGCAGATTAAAAAACAATTTAACTGATGGCCACAAACAGAGCTTAGAGTTTGTCATGGCTACAAAGATTTTCTGTCAGGGTATAAAAGCAATTAATCAGTATGCAGAAGGTATTGCCTGCCCCATAGAGATGCTAATTTTGTGACACTTTGGAAACTCATGTTCTACATTTACTGTTCACACTAGATGGAAGCTAACCAGCCTTAGCTTGAGCTAATGAAATCAAAAGACTGCAAAATGTCACATTTTCTTATCCCCATGCAGTCTAATTTTGAGATCTTTAGTTTCTTTCCATAAGTTGTTTGACAGCCACAGTGCTGATTGAATATCATGAAACACAATTGTTCTGAAGACTGGAAAGTTATATTTATACAGAACTGCTGTAGCCAGTTTATCTGTGGAAAATAAAGGGCCTATCAGTTTCCTGCTCAAGTATTTTTGGAAAATGACAAGAAACCCCAACAACCAATTAGAGAAATTGTAGTATAGCAGAACAAAGATCAAGTGTTTCAACATGTTATCACTGGGGACTTTTATTTTGGGGGGGTTTTTCTTCTTTTTTTCCCCCAAAGTGCTATTAAAAAAAAAAAAATCTATATGCGTAGTTTACACATAGCAGACATATTTAGATAGAATATTCTATTACGGATACTGTTAAAAGTAGCCATTTGAAAGTTCAGGTATACTTCCCTGCATACTCTAAGTTATGACCTAATATAGAAGCCGTTCCTATTTAAAAAAGAAAAAAAAAGCCACTAAATAATGCAGCAATTTCAACAATTTGTAACCACAAAATGTTCTGGAAAAACAAGAAAAGCAGAACAGCTACTACGATTTTTTTTTTCCATAGCCCTCTCTTTAAAAAGGGATCTCTGCAGTCATTTTGTTTTAAAATCCTTGGAGAGACTGAGCCACCTGGTTAAACATATTCTTCTGCAGCTGTACAAAAAAAATCACAGCAGTTAGAGTAGCTCCATTTGATTTCCTACCGTCCGAGTTAAAAGCGCGTAGCTGTTCTGACTCACCTAAAGCCGAGTCGCAGATGAGCTGCTGCGGATGAGCAGGGGCACAGCTGCACGCCTCCACCAGCTCCTGAATTCTGTGGGTCAGAAGTAGAAGCACTGAAAACAACAAGGTACTAAGTACAGGATTCATGTTGCCTTAAGCACAGCTAATCGGTCAGCCAAGAGAAAATGCTTTCTTACTGTTGGTTTTATATCTAAACTTCCTAATAGCTATCTGATTTCTTCCGCGTGCAGTTCAATTTCAACGGACTTGGGTGGTTTAGGAAAGCCCTCTAATGCTCGCTCTGAGTATACGCTTATGTTAACTGACTTCTAATTTCCCTGACATAGGACCCTCTTATTTATGGCCCTGACACTAACTCCTAACTCCGCCTTCCTTTAAGGAAAAAGCACATCATTGGTGAAAGTTATTGTACCAGAAGAGAGGTTACCTTAGTAAGCATTGCAGGGTTGCTGTTATGAGTCAGTAGAACTATCAACACTCAAAAGCCTTTACAAAAACATCTTTTACAAGCATCTGAAGCTGATTTTATGATCTTTAGCAGAGGAAAGATTTTATCTTTTTCTAGTAAATTTCCTTCCAGTCTGAATTTAAAAACTAGTTCTGCTACCTTCTCTCTTTTGGTCAAGTAAACAAAGCTGTCCTTTTTTAAGCTCTGTTTTCATTTGCAGTCCCTGATCTTCCCCTGCGCTTCTGTGCATTTTCTTGAAATGACGTCCCTGTTTGCAGGCTGGACAGAACTTCATTCATGAAAAGGCAATGTTTCAATGCTCTACTTGTGAGCCTTGAACAATTGGTAGTTACAAGGAATAATGAATTAAAAATAAAAGCTGCAATAAAAGGCATTTTTTTATTATTTCATCACAGATTTAATTTAAAATAACAAGGAAAAATATACCAGTGGTGTATGTTGGAGGCACGGCTCTTTCTCTGCATTCCTTATTAACGTAAGCCTTAATCGACACAGATCTGTATCTGTATTTTCTGGCTCATGTTGTACATGGAACACAGACACAAATACAAGAGTTCGGAAATCGTTTTCAACTTCAGACCTTGTGTTGCTGTAGCAATCTGGATATGTGTAACATGTATACATCCTCTTTTTATAAAGAAGTTGTTTCATGAGGGAGCAACATAAGGTTTGATTAGAGAGTAATACAATACATAGATTGACATGCAGGACAGAACTGCTTAAAGGATTGCATATTTTGTCACTTCACAAATCACGCTTAGGAACTGAAAATTCATTAACATATTTTGAACCATTTCAATCCAGACTCATGAAAATGTATTTTCTTGAGGTTTAGGTATACACAAAGTAGCTTGTTATCTTTATACAGATGTGTACATGTTTCACAGCACCAGATTTATTTTATTTTTGAACAGTAAGAGGTCAGTTTTACAACTATTAGTGCTGAGATTCTCCCCCCCCCCCCAAAAAAAAAAAACAACCCAACCCTCCATCTGTTAAAAAAACCCAAACACAAATACTCAGAATTATTAGAATTGGGTCTCATTTTCAGATTTTAGATCTACTTCAAAACTGAGCCAGTAATGTTGTACACTATGTCCTGATTTAGTTCAAGCAGCCATACTTCGATTTTTGTTTTTTCAGCCTGAAGTTTTGGCTTCAAATCATAAGGTTGGATCCAAGTCCAGGACTAACGCCTGAAAATAATTTAGACCTGTTAACATCTCCATTCCTACCTGGAGGAAGCTTACTTCTTTCAGGAAGCTTTTCATGCGAATGAAAAGATAAAAAAGATGTGAGGCTAAAACCTTACACAGGAAGTTCAAGCTACAAGAAGGCCGCAAAAAAAACCCCGAGCAGGTATTTTAATGGCCTCTGTGGTCACTAGTTCTAGGACTATTGATTTCCAAGTCTCACTTAGGGCAGTAGGATTGGAAAGTGATGAAGGAATTAATTGAGAGCCATCGATTGGTTTCCAGATGACATCACATGGCTGCTGCTATAGATGATCTAAACAGACCAATTGGATTACTGTTTTAGTAAAATTCAAATAATAAAGAAATATCTAAACAGCCCAATTGGATTACTGTTTCAGTAAAATTCAACTAATAAAGAAATATTCAAAAAATAAAGAAATGTCTTCTCTAACATCGGGCGTGCAGGTCTACCTATTCGATGGTTAACTAAGGCACATTGTGCCTAAGATTGTGCAGAATAGCACGTCAAACTGCTATGCTCTGCATGTCTTAAAGACCTTTATATCTAGTACAATCAAACTAATTGTACAATCAAACTAAAAATATTATGCTTATAGCAAAATTGAAAAATAATCTTGTGAAAAGTTAAAAATTAATTCACAACTATCTTGTAGACATAGTTGAGAAATACATTCAACTGAATGCGTAGAAGCGTAAACATGCTAAAACTAAATCTCCTATGGTAATTGTACAAATGCCATAAAACCACATTTTAATTACGATCTTACATAGTATTGCCTGCAGCTACCCTTGAAATAATTTTTAAGAGTCTTTCCAAGCCATCTGTACATAGGTGGAATATTTAAAGCACTTAGAGAAGCAAATGGCCGTAAGAGAGGTTCTTACTCAAGTAATATATCCCCCGTAGGTCTCTCTAGACCCAGTCAGCATTGGAAGGGATAGGCTTGGAACATGCTATAGGCAACAAGATCTTTCAGCAGCAATGTGGATTTTAGTGAAATTTGTGGCTAGAGGGTTTCTCAACCCTAACGTGAAACGACTGGTCACAACAGCAGGAAAAGCAGAGATGTACAGTCAGTCCTAGGGTACACGGACTTATTCAAAGCCGGGACTTGAAACTGGCTGTTCTGCTTCCCACGGAAGTCTTAACTAATGAGCAGTTCTTTGGTAGGTGTATCTCTCATTTCTTCATGACAACATTGATACATACAACCTTATCACTACAATGTAAAAGGCCAACAATTTTTGAAACCTCAGCAGAACTCCTATTTTCTTTGTTCTGAAACAGTAAGTTTTGTCAAATTACTATCAGTTTAGACAAAGACATATTTACATCATAGCATTTGAAAGGGACTTTAATAAGTCAGGAAATCTCTGTACTCGGAGATTTGCTCTCACAAATGCAAGAAAATGCATTTTTAGTCCGTTTATCAGAGGAGACAAATACTACCTCTAGCTTCTACTGATATCAGTGCAGTGATTGAGTACCTGTTACCTCTGAGCAGTATCAGCAAGCATTAGGTCTTAGCTTGAAGCTGCATTGTCCTTTTTTTATATTGTATATTGTTAGTATTTTTCATTATATTAGGAAACTTACTTTTAGAGAGTTTAAAAGAAACCCTAAGCTCAGGGCCCATTCTGTATTACAGTTAGATCTTGACCTTGTAAAATAGAAAGATTATTCCCAAAAGACATAGAAATATTCCTTGACTAACTTTCAAGCAAAATAATTTTGTATCTTAAATAATAGCAGAGAAGTTACAGCCAACATTTTATAAACATAAGCAGACTGAAGCAAAAGAAACACTTGGTCTTTTTACTATTTGTATAAACGGACTAACAGTACAGGGCTTCTTTCACTACGCCGTACGTTATGATGTCAGTTTTCCTTTAGTTTGATAAGTAAACCATGATATCATAGCAAATTATGTCATAATACTAGTCAAGCTAGTGCCCACTCCTTGGTTATATTCTGATACAGCTAACACTTGCTAATAAGAAACAGAAAAGTTCAAGGGATATAGTCACTGATTCCTTCAATTCATTACTGACACAGTAGAAAAAACACTTGGCACTTTCTGATTTCTGTCTAAGTAAGTCTAGTGCAGAACAACTAATTTCTGTTTTCTAGTAAAATGCAAGAAAATAAAGAGGATTGGGGATAATCCACTGTATTTGTTGATGTGTGCAATATAGAAACAAGGCAGGAAACCTGACTACAGTCAAATTTATGATCAGCTTCATCTCTTCTCAATGGGAATTCTAATTTTGCACAGGACTTCTAATTCTGAAGGGGCTTTTTGTACTGTGGGTTGTCATGATCCTTGTTAATTTTTACTATGAAGCATTAGCATCTATCAACAGCATTCTGGTCGTTAATTACCATCATTGTTTGTTTCTCTTCTAACCGCCCCCAAAGACCCGTATTAAAAACACTACATCTCCTTCTGTTGGATGCCATACATGCAGCGTCCCACGGAGTGAACTAGTGCTTCCCCTGAACTGCAGAGCAAACTCACGCTGACTTTATGGTATTTTCATCTCTTCCCCGGGAGTTACTGGGGGCAAAAGGTGATGAATGAGGTGCATCACCCTTAGAGCTGACATGGGGAGAGGCAGCACTACCAGGTCACCTCTGCTCCATGCTTCTTTCCCGCCCTTCCTTGCTGCATCTGCTCTCTCCTCTCACCTGTCAGCCCTTTGCAGCATTGCAGGTCTGCAGGATAATCCACCAAGAGCACTACCGTTGGCTGACCTGTACTGGTATGTTATCTCCTAGCACTGCTGTCTCCCCTCTGCATTTCGTTTTCCGTAAGAGGCAGCACTGTGCACTCAGTTTATAGATTCCTGGGTACTGATCATGAGTATTTCTCTGGCAGGCTTGAGTTTGAGTCAAGGAGCGCTGAACTGTGTTGCGTAGGGATTGTCCATCCAGCTTTTTCAAAGGCTTATAAGCTATTTTAACCCTCTGTTTTGATTAAAGAAATCACAGTTAAGGTGCATTTGCCTCTCTTTGGTTACCTGGCATACCAATCAAATTAAAGCTCTACTCCTTTTATCCACTTGAGCTTTTAAATTTTTTAATGCCCATATTTCTAAAAAGATAATACAAAGCATATCAGATTCTCCTTTGGCTTGCCACTTGTGTAAAGGGGGTATAAAGCGTTACTCCGTACAGATAGAATTTTACACCTAGTTTCTTCTGTCAAGGTACAAGGCAGTGGAAAATCTGGCGCGACATCTCTGAATTGTTCTTTGTGTTTGTTGAGGATAAGAGCTGTTTAAGCATGATGTTTCTGCTTTTCTTAATGAAGAGAGGAATATGTTGAGCTACCCCTGCTGGTGATGGAGAGCTGCTGCATGGTTGAGCCCTGCCTTTATCTTGAGATTGTGTTTTCTTAAAACCAAATAGACCAGAGAAAGTACATCTTCTGCTTGTTTATTGATTTAGGACTCTTCCTGCCTGTTTCTGGGAAAGAAAAAAATGAATAAAAGGCCACCTTCATTATTTCACTTTTGATTTCCTTTCTCCAAAGTAAGCAGAGCAAAATTAGATTTAGTCTGATGCATATTCCACAAATAAATTACATGGAACTAGAGTGGTTAAATGAACTTTGC